TGGTGGCCCGGCGGGTTTGTCCAGGCTGGAGCAGTCCTTGTCCCACCGCGGGGCAGACTCACTAAGCACATTTGTTCTCGCCAGGATCCTGGTGGACCTGCTGAATCTGAACGTGGCGCCCCTCGCCGTCTTCCAGATGCTCAAGTCTATGTGCGCCGGGCAGAGGCTGGCAAGTGATCCCCAGGACCCTGCAGCTGTGTCTCTGCCCTCATCAAGCGTCCCCGAGACTCGAGGTCAGAGCTGGGCCCCCTGCTCTCAGGCCCGTGTGGCGGGGGTAGCTGGTCATGGCGTCTGCTTGGCCTTGAATGGCCAGGCGTATCTTCCCAAGACTTACAGGCTCAGGTTCCAGGCACCCTTGGGAGTGCACTTGAAGATCAAGGGGTCTCAGCGGGAAGTTAGGGTGGCGCAAGCAGGCCAGGGTTCGACTGCCCCAGCTTCCTACCTCTTCACGCATGCCTTCATTCCGCAAGCACAGAGAAAAAGATGGCTTTGGTACCTGACCTCCTGGCGTTTATGGCCTCCAGGGAGTGACTAGAGAATAGTGCAGGCACCCCTTACTGTACTCAGCCTGTGCCCAGGTTCTGGCCAGCTGGGCCTCCCTCAGAGAATTGCAGATGTTGGTGAGGACAGTGTGTTACAGTAAAGCCTCTGGTCCCCGCTCCAACTCGTCCCTGTGTGTGGCTTCTGCCCAGGGTGACTATCTGGAACCTTCGAAATGTAGCAGAACCTTCCAGGCCAATGGAAAGAGGACCTGGGCTGGGTCCCTTGCCTGGAAACACTCTCACATCCACACAGGCACCCTGAGGAGGGACAGAGGGCAACCCAGGCCCTTGTGGGGAGGAGTGCCAGGGCCCTGGGCACCCTCGTTCCTGGCCAAAAAGGCTTTGGGCAATGACATCTAGGCCTCCTCACTGACCCACCCTCTCTCTGTCTGCTGTCTGTGTCTCTTTCTCTGACCTCCAGAGGCTTCCTTTCTCTCTGCCAGGAACAGTACTCCCCCAGCAAGGTCTTCCTTTTCCTCAGCCCTGCAGCCTGCGGCCTCTCCGGTTCTGCTGCACAGCCCAGCTGCCATGCACTCGCCTCTCTCTCCAGGGCCCCCTGCTTCCCTTCGGTTCTCTTGCTGCCTGTTCTCTCCTTTCACAGGTTGCGTTTATTGGCTTATCTCTGGGGGTTGGTGTGCTCTCTTGTATCTGTGGAAACTGCCAATTGCCCCACAACACCAGAGCAACTTTGAGCTACAAGAGCAGGACCCTGTGGGTGTATATCTGTCAAATAGCTTAGAACTAGGTCATGGTTTCTGGCTTGGCTTTTTAAAGACAGTATTTGTACAACATGTAGTCAAGCTAATGTCAAGGAGGGGACCGACACTTCTATGTTCCAGGCTAACTTCAGTGGGTGAGATTTACATGCTGTAAAGGGTCCCACCGCAGGGGAAGGATAGCAAGCTATGGGCTGGGGAACAGGCAGCATGGGGTACCATTGGGAACAAAGCCTCAGCTGTGAGAAGCACTTCAGCCTCTTAGGTGCTCTGCCAACTACCTGGGTGGTAGGTCTGGACAATGGGACGGATACCATGCCTCCCCCAGCCTCTTTGGCAGCACAGAACAATGATGTGTGCTTGTTCCATAAGTCACACATACACACTGAGTCCTCTTTCCTGCTTCATTCCTGGGCTTTGGGACCTTCCGTGCGTCAAGAGTGGTGAGACTGGGGGCTCTGGCCTGGGAAGGTTGCTCCCTCCTGATGCCCTCTCTACACTGCCCACCTCGGAGCGGTGCCTAGGAGGGGAGGGTAAACTACAGGCTGAGGTGAGAAATTGCCAGATTGTGAGTTTTCAAAAGGAGAGAGATACTGAGTACAGGGTTTCCTTACCCTAGAGGATGTTGTTACTCAGTGACCCCAGCTGCTGGGCACAGCCCTTGCCATCAGAGGCACAGAGGGAACGTGAGATAGACATGACTCTGGTTAGAGGCGGCTAGATAAACCGACAGCGGTGGTGGAGTGGGGAGGTGTGGTCTGCCCAGACACAGGAGGCTTCAGTATCTCCGGAGCAGCAAAGGCTAAGCAAAGTAGGGATAGGAGAGGCCTTGGCATCCCTGCCAGATGATGTGGGCAGAGGGGGCACTGAGTGAGGCCAGGCAGAGAAACAGGGCAGTGGTGGTTGTGGTGTCCAGGCCACTGGCAGGTGGGAGAGGGAGAAAATGGAGAGCTAGGAGGTGTGTGGAAGGAAGGCATGGAGGGTTAGGAGGACTGGGGACATGGTATTAATGAAGGGAGGTCGGGAGGAAGCCTCAAGCATGAGGACTGGAATGGCCTCCAGAGTTGTTGGATGTCAGGGGCCCAGTGCTACCAGCATAGCCCAGGCCCTGACCCTGGGAGGACACCTAGGTTCTGCGGAGATGCCCTGTGGGGGAAGAGGGGAGTGATGCAGAGGACGCCTCTACATTCTCCTAGTGTGCTTCCGCTGAGGAGCTACTAGATAAGGTGCAGAAAAAGCTCTGAGGTCTGTTTTAGCATCCATCCCCCAGCCACCCCATAAATGACAAAATCTAGGGTGGAGAAAATTAGGGAATGGTCAAAGTGTTGGTGTTGTAGGAGTATGATGGGAGTTCAGGACCCCTGGAGTTGCTGACTGTAGGTTTCCCATAGGATTCAAGTACGAAATTGCTCCAGGCCATAGGTCTGAGCCTTATTCAGGCTCCAGTTTATAAGCTACATACAGCAAAGCACAATGGGGCCATCTGAGTGGCCTGCAGGGACTCATGCCCAGCAGAGAAGGGGAAAACAGAAAAGCCCAGAAGCACAGAGAAGTAATATTTGTCACAGCGAGGGTCTACAGTCACTAGGGAAAAATTAAATTCATTTCAGTATTCTCTGATTAGGTTTAAGGAAACTGCATTTTGAAGATGTCCCTCCAGATATGTAAGGTGAAGTTAGGTGTGTAGAAGATGTGTCACACAGCTGTGGTGTCCAGTAAAGGAGCCCTGAGCTGTGTACAGCCACTGTAGTTGAGGGACACTGTATGTGTAAGTACATACTGGACATCGAAGAGCTGGAGCAAAAATGAGGGCAGCAGCTTATGAATATATGTGGGTTATGTACTGAAATGGTAAGGTAGCCATCCTTCAGTATTTGTGAGGGTTTGGTTCTGGGACGCAGACACTCCCCCCACCATGAGTAGCAAAATCTATGTCAAGTTCTTTATATGAAATGATATAGCATTTGCATATAACTAACTTATGCATATCCTCTCTTTTACAGTTTAAAATGTAAAATTTAGCTCAGTGGTTCTGCCGCCTGCTTTGCAAGCACAAGGACCCAAGTTTGATCTCTAGTACCAAAAAAAAAAAAAAAGTAAAATGACCTACCATGACTGTAAAGTGAGTTTTAGTTGTTTTACTTTATGGTACTGAGGATAGAACTCATGGCTTATACATGCTAGGCAAGTGCTCTACCACTAAGCCACACGCCTAGTCTGTATTGATTTTTCTTAGCGGTGGAGTCTCATTACGTTGCCTTGGCTAGCCCCGAACTGAGCTCAAGTGATTCTCCTCCCTCAACTTCCCAAGTACTTTAGGCAATAGGTGTGGGCCCTGCACCTGGCTTTCCTTATCCTCTCTCTACAATACTTAGAATAGTAACTTTAATGTAAGTGCTGTGTAAATAGTTGTCATAGGGTCTAAGGAATGGTAACAGGAAAAGCCATCTACATGTTCAGTGCAGGTTTCATTTTCTTTCAATTCTTTTTTTTTTGAACCTGTAACTGGCCTTGTTAGGAAAGGTGGGGTGAGGTGCAGAGGCCCAGGCCCCAGCCCAGCTGTCACTTGAGGGCCCGCTTGGTGGTTCAGGGCCTGGGAAAGCGCGGTCACAGTCGGTTGGGTGCCAGCGGACCTGCTGCACCCTCAGGTACCGCCTCGGCGCCCCCGCCGGCCCAGGCAGGGCCAGGG